AGTCCCCACCCAGTGAGGGGATACACGGCCCCAATGAGCGAAACAGAACGAGACAGCTGCTGACCTGAGAGAGAGAATCATGACCCGACTGACAAACAGGCCTCCCCAGCGCCCATCACAACGGCTGAGTGAAGTACCATCAGAAAGTCTCATTGAGAATGTGAATGCAGCATTGAGAACGATCCCTACCAACACCATAACAGAAACCAATGAGCTGATCTACAACTCAGCATCAGTGATCCTTGAGATACTTGGCTATAAGAGCAACCATGAGACCCAATACCCACCATGGAAAAGACGGTTAGAGGCTAAAATCAAGGTAACAAAGAGGGAAGTGAGCCAACTGTCAGAGCTCCACAAGGGTACAATGAAAAGACCAGTACCCAGAAAGTACAGCCAGATGCCCATACCTGAAGCACTCGAGACTGCCAAACAGAGGCTCCAAGCCTTGCCAGCCGCCTAAAGAGATACACAAGGGAGAATGAATCCAGAAGGATTAACCGGCTCTTCTCCACTCAACCAGCTAAGGTGTACTCTCAATGGCAGGGTAACAATACAACAGAGCAGACCCACCAAGGCTGAAGACTGAACAATACTGGAAAGGCATATGGGAAAGGGAGGCGTCCCACAACAGCAATGCACAGTGGTTGATCTCTCTACGAGAGGACCACAGCAACCTCCCTGAACAAGCCCCGGTAACCATCACTGCGACAGATGTTCAAGAAAGAGTCTCAGGCATGAAAAACTGGACAGCACCAGGGCCTGACATGATCCATGCCTACTGGCTAAAGAAACTCACTGCTCTCCATGAGCGACTGGCAGCCCAAATGAACCAGCTGCTACAAAGTGGGACTCACCCTGAATGGTTAACTGAAGGGCGGACAATCCTAATCCAGAAGGATCCATCAAAGGGTCCAGTCCCACCCAACTACCGACCAATAACCTGCCTCTCCACAACCTGGAAGCTCATGTCAGGCATCATAGCGGCCAAGATAAGCAAACACATGGATAAACACATGAGCACGGCACAGAAGGGTATCGGTGTAAATACCAGAGGAGCCAAACACCAACTCCTCGTAGACCGCACAGTTGCCCGAGACTGCAAAACCCGACACACCAACCTGTGCATGGCTTGGATCGATTACAAGAAAGCCTATGACTCAATGCCGCATACTTGGATCATTGAATGCCTAGAGATGTATAACATCAACAGGATTCTGAGAGCCTTCATTGCAAACTCAATGAAGCTGTGGAAAACCACCCTTGAAGCCAACTGCAAACCACTTGCACAAGTGTCCATCAAATGTGGCATATACCAAGGAGATGCTCTGTCCCCGCTACTGTTCTGCATAGGCCTGAACCCCCTCAGCCAAATTATCAACAAGACTGGCTACGGATACCGACTCAAAAATGGGGCCAACATCAGTCACCTCCTCTACATGGATGACATCAAGCTGTATGCCAAGAGTGAGCGAGACATCGACTCACTGATCCACACCACCAGGATCTACAGCACTGACATTGGGATGTCATTCGGACTAGAGAAGTGTGGTCGGCTGATCACAAAGAGGGGGAAGGTGATCCGCACAGAAGGAGTCTCACTCCCACAAGGAACAATAGCAGACATAGAGGACAGTTACAAGTACCTAGGTATACCACAAGCAAATGGCAACCTCGATGAGGCCACAAGGAAAGGAGCCACAGCTAAATACCTCCAACGAATAAGGCAAGTCCTGAGAAGCCAGCTCAATGGCAAGAACAAAATCCGTGCGATAAACAGCTATGCCCTGCCAGTAATCAGATACCCTGCTGGAATAATTAGCTGGCCAAAGGATGAGATAAAAGCCACAGATATTAGGACTAGAAAGCTACTAACCATGCATGGAGGGTTCCATCCCAAATCCAGCACCCTGAGACTGTACACGAGCCGCAAGGAAGGAGGCAGAGGACTAGTGAGTGTGAGAACCACTGTCCAGGACGAAACAACTAAGATCCATACATACATCAGGGACAAAGCCTCAACAGACAATGTGCTCAGTGAATGTCTCAGACAACAGGGAACGGAGGTTGAGGTGCCAGAGATACCATCATGGGAGGACAAGCCCCTACATGGGATGTACCACCAGCAAATAACCCAAGTGGCTGATATCAGTAAATCCTATCAATGGCTGGAAAAAGCTGGACTCAAGGACAGCACAGAGGCCCTCATCCTGGCCGCCCAGGAACAGGCCCTAAACACCAGAGCAATAGAGGCCCAGATCTACCACACCAGACAAGACCCAAGGTGTAGGTTGTGCAAGGAGGCCCCTGAGACAGTCCAGCACATCACAGCAGGGTGCAAGATACTGGCAGGGAAAGCGTACATGGAGCGACATAACCAAGTGGCAGGCATTGTGTACAGAAACATCTGTGCAGAATATGGACTGGAAACCCCGAGATCAAAGTGGGAAACACCCCCAAAGGTGGTGGAGAACACCAGAGCTAAGATCCTGTGGGACTTCCAGATCCAGACAGACAAAATGGTAATGGCGAACCAACCAGACATTGTCGTAGTGGATAAACATCAGAGGAAAGCCGTTGTGGTAGATGTAGCAATACCAAGTGATTGCAACATCAGGAAAAAGGAGCACGAGAAACTGGAGAAATACCAGGGCCTCAGGGAAGAACTGGAGAGGGCCTGGAAGGTGAAGACCACAGTGGTACCTGTGGTCATCGGGGCCTTCGGGGCAGTAACCCCCAAACTGGAGCAGTGGCTACAACAGATCCCAGGAGCAATATCAGACATCTCAGTCCAGAAATGTGCAGTTCTTGGCACAGCCAAGATACTGCAGGACCCTCAAGCTCCCAGGCCTCTGGTAGAGGACCCGAGCTCAGAGGATAAGAACCACCCGCAGTGGGTGAGAAGGGGATATTTATATATATATATATATATATATATATATATATATATATATATATATATATATATATATATATATATATATTACTAGAAGACGTTGTTAGTGATTTGCTATTTAAACCCACAACTATAGAGTCTTATTAACAATTAGTAAAAAAATATATAATTAAAATAAATTTCAACTTCTGATAAATCCAAATTAAATCAGCAGCTCCTTAGCCTGAGGAGAGTCTGGAGAGGCAATTTAATATGCTACTGATGCCCAGGCAGGATCAGACACAGGTTAAGACAACATTCAGTCTGAAAAGAGTTGATCTTCATATGAAACATTTTTACTGGAATCAACATCAAATTTTGAAAACAACCTGGTGTTCTGTTGCTCCTCCCTCTGTTTGCATCTCCTACTGAATACATCAAACTGTTTTATATCACTTCATATGGAGAACCTCTGCAGACACATTCTAGCACTACAAATAATACATGTACGTGGTTCTTATTACTTCATATTCACATTACACCCCTCACTCTCGTCCACTCCAGCTAATCACAGCCACTCTACTGACTCTAAATACAGCTGTGATGTTAAATCTGGAGCTCCTGAATATCCACAGAGGCTTCAGGAATGTGGCCTCACACCTCTCCAAGCCTCTCGCTCTGTGTCTGTGTGGGATGAGCAGCAGTAGCAGTGCAGCAGACAGTGTTTTATCTCAGGAATTTTTATATTAAACAGGGAGAAGGAGAGGACAGCAGGGATGAATGAACGCACCGTGCTGAAGCTCATCTGTTTTGCACTGCACACGCCGCTAACATCTACACTCCACCACATGCTTACACACAGCATGACATGATCCAAGTGGGTCAGCACAAGGTCCAACTCAGGAGAGTGAAACCTCAGACGGGAGCTTTTTGGCTCTCTCGCTTCCCAAAGAGCCAGCTGATTGGTCTAATCAACAATTATAGCGGTGTTCAAAATAATAGCAGTCCAACATCTCTAACCAGATCAATAACTGTAACTGGGTGAGATTATATTTCCCCATATAATCTACAATTATTTACCAGTAGGTGTAGTAGAGCAATAGAAAATCCAACAGCAATGGCATGAATTCTGCTGATTCTGTGCAATTAAACCGTAAATCAATGAGGTGTGTTCCAAATAAAAACAGTGGAGTTTAAGCAAACAGTCAAACAGGTGAAAAAGACAACAAATGTTGTTCGGACTGGTTGGAATGCATTTCTGGGAAAGTTAGAGTTAAATGATTCAATCCAAGTACTGTTCAGAACAGAAGCAATGTTTGGGTCAAAGGCTGACTGCAGAGGAGATCAGACATGAGGGAGTGCAGAAAATGAGTAGCTGAGCAGTTAAAATGAAGAGAAACCCAAACCACAAAGACATGGCAGTAAAAGGAAAACTACCATTGTCGTGGATCAGTGAATAGGAAAATGTCCAAAGCTGAGCCAAAGATTAGCTCCAAGATGATCAAGGCAGGTCAACACTACAGCAATGTAACAATTAGTACCTGAGTTTTGCTCAGCTTCTAACTAGAAACCTCAGCATGATGAAAGACAATAACATAGGCAAAAAAGGTAAGAGTTCACCAAAGTTGATTTTCTTCCCTAAAGAGGACCAATTAAAGTAAGATTGCTCTATTTGGATCTGAGATCTGCAGACAGTTTTTCCATCAAACATTAAAATCAAGCAGCAGTACACTGTTCCAGACCAACAAGAACTAACATGAAGCTACCAGCTCAATCTATGAACCTTGAGCTGCTACAAAACCTGGGAGGATTCATCAAACATGTACGCGCTTCTCAGGCAGAACCATGAGCTGCAGAGGAACTGTGCTGTTGTCCAGAAGTCCTGGATTAGAATGCAGGAGGGAGAACCTGCTTGACCCCATGCAACAAAAAAGTGAATTGGATTTCAGAAACAGGGCTAAATATGAATCCTATGATTGATCTTGCACAAATGTCTGAGTTTACCCAGTTAATGTTGGAGTTTGGAATGAAAAATCCAGACCTTTAACTTTCCTTGACTGTGTCAAGTTAAAAGCACATTAACATTGTCCTTTATGTTGTGACTGAGAGCTTTGTGAGTGTATACCTGCTGCACATCTTGCTGGAACACACACAGCTGCAGTCGCTGGTGTAGACGGACCTTTCGATGTTGCCAAATGTTCTCCAGGCGCCGCTGATGGTGAAGAACCTCATGCACCACGTCCAGGATGCAGTGAACCTGAGCGGTTACACCTACTGGTTTAGATTATATGTAAATATGCTCAAAGGTTATCTGTTACTGATCCACTGACCGCTTTGGAGTAATTAGCTGTGGCTGTGAGGGAGTCGGAGTTGCCTGGACTCAGAGGTCTCTGCAGCACATCCAGCAGAGCTTTACCATCCTGACTCACCTGGACATGGAAACAAACATGACACCCTCACATACAGAAATGCCAAATATGTGTCGTTAATATGAAATTTATTTCACAAAGTGCTACCTGATTGATCTTTGGTTCTGACTTTGGTGACACAGACCTACACTTCGATAGTGTGTGTTAAACTGGACTTGCTATTTGTAACTGAATTGTTATGAAGTAAAACCGGAAGAAGTGTTTGGGTTGCCCTTTAGTGGTTGGCAGACATGAATCATAAGAGCACTTTTTGAGCTGGCAGACATGATTTGGTCACATCACGTTTAGAGAAGTCTCTCTGAACTTCAACATGTGCTCAGAAAAAAGAAATGGCAACAGACCAGATCTGAACAACTGGAAAGCATTATGTGGCTAAGTGTTCACTTCGAACAATGCTACATGCGCCACAGCTTGATCTCTGAATGGTAAGTAAAGGACAATTACGCCATTTTTTAAATAACCTTGGACTGCATTTGATCCTGATGTCATCAAAATAGAAAATACTAAACACTAATCTAACCTGGATTGTCAATTTTTTTTCAGAACTAGGAGAAGTAACTAAGTAAAGTTGTGTTTTCAGTATGTATACAACTTTATAACATGACATCCATTCACAACATGACTTTTATTTCCATTAGAAGTCATGTGTAGCTTCCTTCATTTATCTCATATAGAAGAGACATCAAATCCAGACATGGAACCATTTTTATGCGACTCTTACGTTCAACAATGCAGCAGCAATCTGCCAAGCCTAACTGCCTCAGTCTGAAGCTGTGCCTAGAATTTGATGTCTGCATATATATACAGACTTATCTTTTTATAGATAAGCATAAACTGAACAACAGCCTGTCTAAAGATAAAACAGCAGACAGCAGCAAATAACAGGGAAGAGTGGGAGTGCTCCAGAACTAAATTTAGTGGAGTGTTTTCAGACAGCTTGAAGGGTCAGTGCAGCGGCTGAGCATCGCCACCCTGTTATCACAGCCAATCACAGTCTGCAGCATTGACAGTACAGAAGAATATTACTGTTCTCCATCACCTAAAAACCTGGTGTTTACATGGAAAAAATGGCACCTTTACAGTATGTTGAGAAAGTCACTTCCAGTGTGTTTTATTAGAGAAAGTGGTGCTTTGGTATCTAGTAGCTTGCAGTTCCTGAGCAGCAGCTGGACATTAAAGTGTGTTTGTATACATTTATGATGAAGATGTTAAAGAAAACAAGCTTCAATGAGCAGCAGTGGAGCAATGACTCTGTCTGTTACTCATAATCAGTTTGAAGGGTCTTGGTTGTGTGATCGTCTTACCTCGGTGTAAGCCTGGGTCACCTGCTCATACAGGCTCTGGTGCCGATGGATGGCGATCTCCAGCTCCTGCATCTCCGACGGTAACCCACCCTCACTGCACACTTTACACCAAGTCTCCACCTCAGACAGGAACTGAAGAACCAGATCAAAGCCTTAATTATAAATCCATGTGTGTTTGATGAACTGCATGTCATATTTAAAGGGGTTCAGCTTTCCATTGAACACATACTGGTCTTCTCAGGATCTAATTAGTTGGAATTCAAAAAGAATAGTTGGGGAATGGGATCTTTCTCTAACTGTCTCCACCCTTCACAACAGGGGTTAAGCACAACCCACTTTATGAGGTCTTAGTCCTAAACGCAGCTGTTGCAGGTTCAATTCCCAGCCTGATGACTTTTGCCACATGTCTTCCCCTGTCTCTCATTACCCACTTTTTTGTCTGACTACTCTTAAATAAATGCCACAAGGGCCAAGAAAACCTTAAAAAAAGGAATGGAACATGCTGTAATGGCAAGAATATTCAAAACATTCTACTTAATAATTTATTGGGTTTTGAGTTGTGATGTCTCTTCCTGTGAGTCTGTGTTCTAACTGTTGTCCTCTCTGTAGTCTCACTCTTCCAATGTCACTCCTCTTTTATGTCCTCTTCATCCAAACATACTCTAGAATAAAATGTCACGAGCCCAGCAGGAATCAAACAGTTTGATCAGTTGCCATGTCAACCTTCCAAGAATCAGCAGTGAAGCCTTTTCATCTATTAAATATAATCAAGCAGTAAAAAATGTCCCACTTTTATGTAATATTCTGGACATGTGTTTGCAGCAAAAAGTCTTGGTGATTGGAGAGTTAGATATAGCAGCTTGTTTGCGAAAGAAATGGTTCCAGGCTTTCTATGTATTCCACAAACACAGCTGATTGGCTGTTTTTTTATCAATAATCACTCACACAGGTCTCATCTCACCTGCTCAGCCTTCTGATGAAAAACAGAAGACATGGCAAGGATGGTAGAGCGTTCATCAAGGGCAGCAGCAAAACTTTTCCAGTCCTGATCCAGCTGACCAGAGATCTGCTTGATCTGCGTGGAAGCATAGTGACCGGCCTCAGCCAGCCGGCTCGCCACTGACATGATTCTGTTGATGTTTACATAGGCATTCTGGGAAGAACATTTTAACAATTCTATGTCATCTTCATACATTCAGAGTCAAATTTTAGGAGAAAAAGTAAAGCTTGTGATGAGGTCCTACCATGGAGTTCATGGCAAAGTGGTTGTGCTGTGTCTGCAGCTCCACAGCATGCTGGTAACTACGACCGATCTCTGTGTGGCTCTGCAGAAACACCTCCTTGTTGTGGCTGATCCAGTCGAACATCTGCACAGAAACACAAACCCACACACACAGAACTATATCAACAGATATGAATGGAGTCTAAACACCTGGAAGCAAAGAAGAAGCACTGTAAAAACCATGGAGAAGAAGTGGAGACGCAATGGGAAATCACTGGAGAAAGAATGGAAAAACTCTGGGGTAGAACTACAAAAATAGTTGGACAGAGTTGGAAGAACCTGGAGAAAATCTCTCGAAGACATGGAATTCTTATGTTGCTTGTTTTATGTAACTGTTTCATGTGCAAATTACTACTTTAAATCAAGTTTTTATACTGAACATAAGCAGGTTTCCTTGTATTTACATAACAAGGTATGTTGAAACAACTCAAACTGAGTGGGTTGATCGAATGTAATCCTGTTACTTTAAATCTAATAGGTATTATGCAAATGAATATTGTCCCTAGTTGTTCCTTTCCTGAGTTCATCTGCTGAGTTCATCATACAAACTACTGCTCAGTCTAACACTCTTAACAAAAGCTATAAATGGCATCAGGGAGCAGCATGGGAGAGCTTTGTTAGGGGCAGTGTCAGAAAGGACAGGAGCTTCTTAAAGAGATAGAAACCAGTTTGAAGGGATCACATACAGCAATGATGTGAAGTCAGTTTTGTGTTTTGTTTTAAGTTATTTTTTATTTATGCAGCAGTTTAATAACAACTAGAAGTAACATAATTACTAGATTGTGCGAAAAAAGGGCACTACTTCTTAGATTCTTCTGTGGTGGCCTCATGTCCTCATCAGAGAGGGGGAAGTCAAAGGTTAAGGGGCCAGAACCGCAACAAGAATTGAGATCGCCATATGTCGATTGCATGTTTTACCCCAGCGCTACACTCGCACTCCCATAATATTCTCCCTTTGAGGAACCATTGAGAAGACACTAATGAAGCATTAAGAAAGCACAAGGGAAAAGCAGGAAAAATACTACAAAAACACTGAAAACTATCCTGGGAAACACAGGAGAAAACAAAGAAGATGAAGAATTATTCGGGAAACAGTGAGGAAACATTAAGATAACATTAAGGAATCACTGAGGAAACATTTAAGAAACACTGAGGAAAACTGAGGAAGGACCAGTGAAGCACTGGGGAAACTGTGGATAATTAGCAAACTAGCAGTGGAAGAAGTATTGGGGGTTGTGTGATCTTATTTCAGCTCATAAATCACAGAGGAAAACACTTGGGAAACACGACACAGATGACTCCTCAATTTAATAATTTCTCTAGGAGAGCTGGTCCATGATGAGACCTTTCATATTCTTGCTCATAACATGTAAAGTATTTCCAGGAGATTGCTCTGACTCATCTGGCATGTCTGCAGGGCAGATGGTAAGTAAAGTGTTACAGTAACTGTGCTCTGAACAAGAGAAACAAAAAAACCACAACCTAAACCTCTTTTCAATTAGAGATGAACTTCACTATACGTCCATTTTCTCAGAGAGATGGTTACGGTTCAGTATATTCGCCTGTGTTGCCATAGCAATGAAACAAACTGCCAGGTCTGATCGGTGATCCCCAGCTGGATCAGGAGTTAGACCTTCAGGTTGAACTGGTGTTAACATCCCTACAGTCTCTCAGTGTGACAATGTGAAGCAAAGCAGCCGTTTCTCCTGCCTGTTTGCTTTCCAGTAAATATTTATCGTGGCTGCATGTACTGCAGGTCAGCTGACGCCTGCCTGTCTGTGGATATGTGTGTCTGACACTTTCAAAATACAAACACACTCCTTCTACATAAACGTCTCATAGATTTCCATTATAATATTGTGTCAGGTCTCAATTACCACCATTGTACAGCAGAATGTGATGAGCTCCGAAGTGCAACAGATGAGCTCCGAAGTGCAACAGATGGCTGTCTTCATGTTTGAGTAACGTTTTAGAGACTATTTAGGCATAGATGTCAACTTATAATTTCTTATTAATCTGAAATATTCCAGAATGTTGTTTCCTTTTTGGCTAATTGACAATACTACCTTTGTGTCATCTCTAAAAGTGATGAAAACCTCCAATGTAAAATTGGATCCAGTGCTGAGCTAAATTGTTGACCAAAGACTCACTTTCTCAGCATCCTGCTCAAAGAGGCGCAGCTGGAAGCACTGGTCCAGTTTCAGCTTCCTGACGTGCCACATCTGATGGAGGTGCTGCCTTGTGGAGTGGAGCTTATCGAGCAGACTGGCCACCTGTCAAAACCAAACACTACATTTCAGCATTCTTTCCAAAACCTGTCTCCAATAGACAGGTTCGGATTCCAATATTTGTAAAAGTGCAGGACACTGGTAGAAAAAGTATAAAGGACAATTATATTGACACTAACAACAAACCTAATTAAGCATAAATTTGTGTATCCAGACATTTCATTACTCTGTTGACCAAAGACTGAAGTCATGGAAGTTGTTGGACATAATACATATTTTTATTCAGACGTGCAGGAGGTGTTACATGTTAAGGTGGGTTAATGGTGAAGGGTTTTTACCATTATTGTGTCATGACAAGATTATTTCTAATGGGGCTGTGTACATCATCCTAAACAGCCAGGAAATCTGAAATAATCTTTAAACACTGAAGCATAAATAAATTTGGCCATTTGGTTTCAATGCAGATAAGTTATTATACAATACAATTTTCTGAAACAAAAATAGTTCTTTAAGCCACGCCCACTAAAACAAGAGGATACCACCATATTTGGGTGAGGACAATGTGTCCATAACATTCACTGTCTATATCTGCAGATTGATTGATATGTTATATTGTAGTCAAAAATAACATATTTTTGACTGCAATATGTTGAATTATTACCCAGCTGCTTACAGATCATCTCTTCCTGGTGTGTAGATGAGCTGCATGAATGCAATCTTTTCCATAAATGTAGCAATACCTTCTTTATTTCTATGCCTCTTTTTTATTCAGTGAGATTGAAATAAAAAAATCAATACATTTTAGAGTCAAGTGCTTAAAAGTTTTAAAATAATTACCAAGTTCATTAAGATAGTATGCTCGTTAAAATCTTTTAATTTACTTGTATTTTCTGCCTGGCTCATTTCAGAAAGTTCTCTCAGTATGATTTGTGTCTTGCCTCTAGTTTTATGAGTAAATGCAGATACAGCTTAAACTGTAAGGTGGATATATTCCCAGTTCAAGAGATCATTCCTGCTGTCAAATTCTTACCTTGGGCACCAGACTCTGAAAGTCAGCAGAACCTGAGATGCAGTTCCTTCCAGAAAATCCATCACTGGATCGAATACACTGAAGCAACCTTTGGCCTTCTCGGTCTAACTCCTCCACTGGAGCCTTAAGCACCTGAAACAGTATTAACTTGGACTTAAAGGCAGGGCATGTCCATTTGTACAGCACATTTCAGCAACAAGCATTTTGTGGTGCTTCACACTCTACACAGATGAATGTAAAGCCGTGATTTAAAGGAACTTAGTGTTTTGGTTGTTTGGCAGTGTTCTGGAAGTTTGCTCCAGATTAGTGGAGAGTAAAAACTGAATGCTGCTTCTCTGTATTTGGTTCTGGTTCTGCGGACGCAGAACAGACCAGAACCAGAACCAGAATCAGAACCAGAAGACCTCAGAGGTCTGGAAGGCCTTTAATTTATGTTGATACTAAGGCATTCAGTGATTTTTTAATCTGTTCTCTTAGATACAAGGAGCCTGTGTAAGCACACCTGAAGTGGAGTGTTGTGCTCCATATGACTGGATGAGTTTCTCTAGATCTTGCTGAGACATTAGTCCTTTGATCCTTCTTCAAGTGATTGAACTATCTTTGAACTTTCTATAGGTTATGCCCAGAGTTCATCACTACAACCGCATTTCAGGCTGACTTCTAGTTTCCAGCTGTAATACTTAAAGCTGTGTGCTTTCAGCTTTATCAGTGAGTGGACATGTCCACTCATTTATTTGGTAAATGCATCTACACAGTGCTTGTATGAGTTCCTGGTCACATAGTGACATTGTAATGTACAGCTGTGCATCATCTGCGTAGTTATGGTAACTGATCCTATTACTTGTTAGAATCTGGGCTAGCAGAAGCATTGAGATAATAAATAAAAGACTGAACATTGGGGTTCTCCACATTTCTCAGCTTCATTGACAAATTTTCTATTGGCATGAAAAAAACCCTGTCCTTTGGTTCAGACTAGAACCAGTCAGTGTGACCCAACTCTCCCATGGTTCCAGTATTATGTCATGGTCAACACTGAGGTCCAGCAGAACCAGCACTGTGGTTCTTCCACAGTCTGTGTTTATATGGATGTCATTGAACACTTTGACGGAGGCAGCCTCAGTACTGTGGTAACCACGGAAACCCGACTGAAAGACATCAAAGCAGTTGCTTGTCATTAGGAAGCTTTGTAACTGCTGAAACAGCTTTTTCAGTCATTTTGCTGATGAATAGGAGGTTGGAGATCAACCTGTAATTCTGCAGTAGTGATTTGTTCACATTATTCCTTCTTATCAGTCTGATAGAAGGAGTCTATCTGATAGTTATCATTTTGATAACTGCTGTTTTTAAAGCCTGGGGGAAAACACCTGATGAGAGCGATGAGTTTACTGTTCAGATCAGATCAAATGTAATGACAGGCAGAACTTTCTTTAAACATGTGGGTAAACTGTGAAGGTATCAGAGGGAGGAATGTAGTTGGTGTGTGTAATTAAAGTAATAGTATTTCCACTTTTAGGTAGATCAACTTTTGTAACCTTTTTCTTCAGCTGTGTGTGCTCCTCTATTAACCGCCGAGATCCTTCTACATCTGCAGGAAAGTCTTTCATGGACAGAAGTTCCTGTAAGAAAGAACATATCTTTGTCATTTGGTTAAAAAAAGTATTTTGATTGTTTTAGCTCTGGATCTCTCAGCTATGTACCTGAAGGTCCTCCAGTCTAGACAGCAGGTGAACAGCACTGGACATAAACTCCTCCAGAGACACCCTCAGCTCGATCCATTCCTCATGGTTGTAGTCCAAAGAGCCTTCAAAGTCTTCAGTTAGCTGTGAGGGATCTACCAGTTTGGCCAGGCCTTCTACTGAAACCATACTGGTCTGCTTATACAGACCAGGAGATCGAAAAAAGGAATTGGTCAATGAAACAGCAAAGTTTCCTTCCAGAAAAAATATTGATACTGCACTGAGACTAATAGCTTTACAAATGATTTCAGTAAAAACGTGTAAAAACTGGATAATATTTCCTAATTTCACAGTAACTACTGTAAACTGTAAACACACTGACATGACCTGGTGGGCCGGTCTGTCAGTAAACCTCTCTCACTGCAGAGCAGAAGAGGACTGTGGTTAATTGTTGGACCTTTGCCGAGGGAAATAAGATAGTGAATAAGATCAGCTTCACATGTAAGAATCAGCCAAACACTGCTCTAAAAATTTTTCGAAAATCTGCACCAATAAATCAGGCCACCCTACGTACAGCCTCATGCAGAACCACAATGCACTGAGACTAGATTCTCCCAGCTCTGCTTTGTATATGTACTCACACACATCATTTCTATATATATATATATATATATATATATATATATATATATATATATATATATATATATATGCGTGTGTGTCGTACATGTGAGAAGTTGTGAAAGCTGAAAAAGGCAGATTATGAAGTGAAGGAATCTTCTTTGTAAATCTGAGACTTTGTGCTTTGATAAGATCTTAAACTACAGCTTCACATGCCAGTTGTTTGCCTGCTGTTCCACAACAAAGTTAAAGGATGTAAAAAGTTGTGCACATATGTAACTTCAGTGGAAAATAAAAATAATCTTGTGTATGTGCAGCAGCTCATTTATCCGACCTCAAAGGAGAACTTTGCACTTCCAAAGTTGGTCTTCTGTTTCTGCCAGAAGTTGTCTGGTTTGATAATGAGAGCCACACAGATCTCAGCTGGGAAATATTCCTGCAGTGTCTTCAGCAGAGGCTTGATTAGCTCCCACTTCGATCCTCGCATGTCGATGATAACAGTAAATCCCCGTTTGCAGACATCCTCACTGATGGGAGAAACAGAATCAACATGCAGGTGAGAGGAGACCACAAAGCTGAACATCATAGAACAGGAGAGGGTATGCTGCAACAACTACACATCCAAAAGTGCCGCTTCTTCTCCCTTTCCTGCCATTACATCAGACTTGAAGTTTAAGTACTGTGCTTCTCCTGAGAGATGCCATCTCAAAGGGTTTGACCAGAACAGGAACTGCTTTTCTAGTTTTTTGAAGATGCTTTACGTTTCACCCAGAATGTTTCTTTAATTTATGGCTGCAAGACCATTAATGGGACAATCATAAAGGGAGCACTCACCACAGATAAAGGGAGCACTCACCACAGATGAGTCACTGACCAACCTCTTACGTTTGGACTCATTGTTACAAACATACATGAACACATTTCTGTCTGATAAAAACATGTAGCAAATCCAGAAACGTAAACCTTTTATTGCAGCAGCATAAGCACACGACTGGATCATTGAAAACTACAACATGTATTCTGATTGAATTTATTTAATCCTATAAAATACATCTGGGCCTCAAGTGTAATAAAATCACTTGAGGCCCAATTATTTTCCTCCCCACTGTAAACAATTGCAACCATCTTGTTATACCAGCAGATCAAGACCCGTCCTGATCAGCCAGAGTCCTGCATGTTTCTATAATGCACCTGTCTGTATTTAAAGTGAACAGACAAAAGCACAACATGCCAAAGAAAATTCAAATCAGCAAAACAAAAGCCTGCGTCGACAGAGAAATCATCTGAAAGGACAAAATGACAGGTCTGACTGATGATTCATGCCAAGATGAATGAAATGTTTTTTCCACTTTTAGGAGCAGTTAAGCAGAAGTTGGTGAGGAAGTGGAGGACAGAAGAATAAAACATTTCCAACATTTAAAGATGACACTTTGGTTTCTGTAAAATCCTTTCCTGCCCATTCATCCTGTAGTTATTCATCTTCTTACCGTAAGTCAGGTCTTCATCTATTCATTGGAAATCACTTTGTTGGCACAAAATAATAATCCCTGCCTTTTCTCCAGTTTTAATTTCAGCTGAAGTTATGAAAACAAATTTCATAGCAGTAACAGCCCCAAACATGTTTATGTGCAATGATGAAATCATATCACCTGTAGAGCTGTAAGAAACTCTTATTTGCTTAAATAATTCATAAGTCGAATCTCAGAAGTTCACCAAATAAAAACATTTTTCTGTGGTTTTGCTGAGATCAAAATGTGTCAGAATTTTGGTTTTATTCTTCAAAATAAAATCAAGATTTTTTCCAAACATAAAATGATATAACTGGACCAGAGGAGAGAACAGTGCGTGTCACACAGCCTTGCTAAATGTGAAACAGAGTTCTCTATATGCTCCATATCTTCTTTAAAGATAGTTCGTACCAATATTTTGGTGGTTTCTCTGACTTCATTTTAAACACAAGTTTCAAACTGAAAATTACTTTTTAAACCCAGATATTTACATACATTACAGAGAAAGGAACATCATCATATCTACTTGCTAAATGCAATGAAATAAAAATTCTTGAAATAATTCCAGTTCAAATGTTCACATGCAGTTTCTTATTTGGTAGAAATATCTTTTAAACTTTCAGATGGCCACTCCAAATAATTGACTTTTTCATGTTTTGATCCATTTCGTTACTAATTTGCAGGTTTATTTCATATCAGTGTCTTTTAAAATATTTGGCTACTAAATGAATGGAAACATGCTGATATTAATATGAATCTAACAGCAGCAAATCTTTCACCACTTTTTTCAGGAAGGCACAAACTCTTCTCTTCACCATGGAATCAGCCGATGAGGTGAGTAGGCAAAGAGGGACTAGGTTCTTATTTAAGTTTAAATATTCTGGATATAACATACAGAATGCTACATCTTTTCTCATTTTTCCTTCAAAGATTTTTCTGCAGAGGTATGCAGGGATATCAGTGCCATGGATGACTGAGATCACCTTTCACCATCAGCAAGAATCTGCTTTCATTCAGCTCTCACAGGGAACAGGAAATCAAAATCAAGTCAAAAATCGACCCATTTCAGATTTCACAGAACTTGGCTCCAGACTGTCTTTGACCTGTTTCTGATCAGTTTTTTTTTTTTTTTTTTTTTGCACCTTCCATTTCTCCCAAGAGTCCCCGGACTGGGCTGGAGCCACAGACTCAAACAGCACTGCTTTCACAAAGATGCAAATCAAACGCTGCTCCCCTTCTGCTGCAAAGCTGGCCAAAGAAGGAGCACTTGACTCTACAACCTGGACAGAGCTCAACACACTCCTCACCCACACTTCTTCTTTCTAAGATCTGCCTGGCAGGTTGACGAAATGTCCAAAATAAAAATACAAAATCATGGTGTGCGTATGTGTTTGCAGCAAGACTGTGGGTACCTGGGGACAGTAGACAGGTATGTGACCATTCGCCTCAAGTCCTCCTGCTTTATTCGGTCGTGGTTGCTCCTGGCAGGAAATGTCAGAATTGGTCCTCCTCTTTTATCTCGCCCTCCTGGAAAAATCAGCAACCAGCAATGCTCAGTATTTACAAAGTATTTCAATCATATTTTTTATATTCACTAAGTAAGAAGATAATGAATGTTTTGGAAATGGAACTTGCATTTGAATTAGGGGTGCATCAATCTTTAAAAACTCTGACCTACCAATTCCGATTTTAGCCAATACTCTTTTTTTGTTTGAAATGTTACTAAACATGGTAAGAAAGTTGCTGAGTTGGCAATAGTGGGGCGACTTGTTAACTGAAAACGTGCAGACATGACCTGGTAAGGCTCGGAGAGTCAAACCTCCCACTACACAGTTTGGTTGATTTTAGACCTTTGCTGAGAGATAAGATCAGTGAATAAGATTGGCTTCACATGTAAGTATCAGCTGATCACTGATCTCCCAAAATGAAAGAATTTGGTGTCGATAAATCGACTGGCCATTTTATTGATTGGCTGATTTATCAGGGCATCCCTGCTGGGAAATAATGAGGTTTCCTGGATCCTGGATCAGGTCTGAACTGAAAAGTGGTTCAATTCCTCTGAAGCACAAGAGGAAACACAAGAATAAGTTCAGTTACCTCTGACTACATCACTACAGATCATGCATGTTCTATGATTAAAACCAAATGGTTTGGATTTCAAATGAGTGATAGCTCCAAACACCAGATCACATACAGACGAGCTTTAGCTGATCACTCTGATCTTCAAGGTCTGAGATGAGCAATGAAAGATTCTATGGAGACAAATCCAAGAGTGTGTTTATATCAAGTTCACTGAGCTCTAAACTAGCTAGCAAAGATAATTCAGTTTAAAAAAAACACTTCAACATGTACCCCAGTACACAGTTTTACGATCACAACAGGGTTGTAAACACAATGTCATGATTAAGTCTTGGTCAGAGTGAAATGTATACATGTATGCAAAATGTTAGATTCCTGAGGTTGTGTGCTACTACTTCCTCATGTTGTTTTCAGACAGCTACAGATGCTGTTTGCTTTACCTCCTAAATAAATCAGGAAGTTTATTAATAATGCATGTTTTCGTAATTTGTTTTTTTCTCATATGACTTAATCCATGTTTTCTTTCAATTTCACTACATGTCAGCTCTGAGAGAACAACACTTACATACAACAGTGTTGAAATCTAACAAAAGTAACTAAAACTTTATATTCCAGTCCAGTTGAAATTCCATTTTGCTACTTAGTGGAAATGGTAAAATGGTAGCAACAGTAATTGTTACAAATGCAAAGATGAGTCCCTAGAAATCTACAGCAACCTGCTGGTGGCAAAGTCAGTTCCATTAAAGTTCAAAAGTATTATTCCAGTTGTCAGGACTACTCCCTGGTTCCTGCTGAGGTTACAGGTACCAGGTCGTGGTACCCCTCTAACAGCTCTACAGTGTCTACCGGATTCTCCTGACAGCTAGGTCAGACACTCGGCATGTTTTTTCCAAAACGTAAACTCTCTGAGTCTTTGTGATAAACGATGTGTGCTGAGATGGCTTGCTCAGATTAACGTAAGAAACATAAACCAGAGTGTTTGTCTAAGTGCTACTCAATCGTGAAAAAGAGAGAGAAAGAGAGGAGGGGTGCAGGGGAGGGGGAGTTGGAGGAGAAAATGTCGTAGTGATCTATGAAAGAATCTTGATGACGAATACTTGTTGGCATGCAGCCTCTCTCTATTTTGTTCTCTCCACCTCTTTCTCTTTTTGATTCAGACTTTTTGTACTCTGCATTACTACAACACTGAATGTACTACAACTAATACAATCCTTATAAAGACTTTATGTTTAGATTCATGTATTTTCACATACACTCTATGTTGGGCACTAAATACATCTTGCATTTACTTGTACAGAGTGTTTTCAGTGATGTTGTAGTTATTATTACACATACCTATGTTGTCTTTTGATTTGGTTTTATTTTTCTTTTCTTTCTGCAGGTGAAGAAACAGACTGCTACGGTGTTGTCATGTGTTCTCTCTTCATATACATATGTACATACACATAGCATTTAAATAACATCATACCAACTTGTAAAAGTCTGCCAGGCCTCACCTTGGCACTCAGGCAACAATTCTGAGTGCCACACTGTCAGAGAGAACACGTTATGTAAATGAATACAACATTTAATTTTGTAATATATCTATTGGTGACATGTGGAACAGTTAAATCAACATCACTTGATAATATAGTATGACCCCTTAAAGGTTTTGAGCTGTAAATGCAAATTTACACATTTATTTTAGGAGTAAAAAAGCTACTCCTAAAATAAAATAGTTTAAAGCTGTGAGTCAAACCATCCATCTAAGCTTTATGCCATTAGTCTGTCAAGTCATCTGTCAACTCATTCTTTTGCCACATATTCTATATTTCCATTAACAATCACATCTCCATTCTTTCAAGGATGGAGGCATTTTCCATTTTCCCAAACATTTTTGATGATCATTTTGACCAGCAATAATCACACAAGCAGCTCTTTCAACATCAGGCTTTCATGATTGCTGCAGAGACTCCCATTGTCCTTTGTCCAAATGAAACTCTCCATCTGTTTCCTCCCAAGACATGTCAGAATGTGAACATCTTTGGGACATCCGGGGACTTATTTTGTCATGACATATTATTTGCTATGTGGAAATATTTCATAGGGAGTGAGATGGCCTGTGGGCCGGGAGTGTTCAGGGTCTGCTTGTATTGGCATTCAGTGGGAGCAGCAGCCAGACAGAAGGGAGAAGAACCCATAAATAAAGGTGATGTTGTGGAGAGCCCAGGATGATGTTTCCTCACATAGGAAGCGTGAATCTAACTCCAATTCTGAGAAATGTTTTCACAGATATTTTAAGTGGAAGTTTACCTCTGATTACTCTTAGTAGAGCTGTGTAATATTATTATGTGGATGTCTAGATTAGCTTATTCTATGGTCATAATTCAGAGCATAATACACATGTGATAAATGTAATGTTGAAGTTCCTTGCAGTCATTGTTGGGTGACTTCCAGCAGTGACAGACACTCACCCGACACAAAGGCGACTTTCTCCTTCAGCACAGGCAAAACATCAGACGCCTTTATGCCTTCGGTCCTGAGGGAGCCTGGAGAGACGAGAGAGAGAAACGCTCAGCATTAATCCCATTATCAGATCAACATTCCTGTGAGAGAGCAATCACACTTGGATTCAACTCTTGCTTCTCTATTTAACTGTCACACACTCATACTACTTTCTGAATAGAATATTGTTTTTGACATGAATAAATATTATAATTTGGGTATAAATGCTGTATCCAGCCTTCCTACAGAATCAGGACAGAACAATTTGTTTCCAATCTTACTCCTTTGTTCTCTTTTGATTTTTTGCTCAGTTCATCTGGTCGCCTGTCTGTCATATTATGAAATCTCTGTCTCTTATTCTTTCCTTTGTGTCCATGCTCTCTCAACCTCCCCTGCCTCCTCCACTTCTCAGATGAAAACAAGCCCAAATGTCCACAACCTGCTGTGTGTGTAAGTGCGTGTGCATGCATGTGTGCGTACATGTGTGTGAGAGGGTGTCGTTGAGTACGAGTCCATGGTGGTGTATGTGTGGTACAAATCAAACACACATTCCAAACTGAGAACACTAAGTCAGCAGAATGTTTCTCAGGACACAGAAAGAGAGAGGAGGAGGGAGACAGTGGCTGTTATTGAATGTGTGATCTCAATGTTTCAGGACCATATTTTTATATGTGGTGTATTAGTGTGCAAAACTGGTAGGGATCAAAAGTAAGTCTGAGTTTCACAAATCACTGGATTCAAAACAGGATGTATGAATTTGACAAGTGATATGATTTCTGGTGAGCAGTGTGCATTTTATTGATGATTCAAATTGTGAAAAGTGTTTCTTCATATTAATACATATAAAACACTGATAATCTTGCTTTTATTTGTTTTATTTTTGTGCATAGCTTCCATCTACAATTGAAGACAGAAGTTATACTTGCTACTGTTATTATAATTTGGGTTATTATAGGTGGAGCCATCTTTCCAGGATGGACTAATGAGCCTCCATACAATTTCAAAGCTTTAAAGACTAAAATTGGGTTAGTGGTAAGATTTTGTCCTGCAACAGGTAGGTAGCCAGGTCCATCCCTGTCCGTTGTGGTCTAGGCTAAAACACTTCACCCATCTTGCCTGATGGTGGTGGATATCAGGGCCCAACAGGTGGTGCTGGTGCATGGCAGCCTCTCCTCTGTCAGTCTGCACAGAGCAGCTGTGACCAATATCCAGTGGCTTGCCACCACAGGTGTGTGAATGTGAATGGATGAATGTAAAGTGATGCATTTGGGGTTCTCTGGACTTGATACAAGTACAGACCATTTACCAAATGTTCTTTACATTAAGAGAATATCCCCAGTTACGGTCAATAAGGGTTCATAAGCTTCAGTTTGCATAAAACTGTTTTAGAATATACAGCAACATATGCTAAAACATCTGGGTGAATGAATTTGAACAATTGGAACTGTACATGTTGTTTTGATCCTGTAGTGAAAAGGGATCATTTCAATTAATAAAAAAATTCTCAAGAATTTGAGTAGCTCTACGCTAAATTATCATTACAGCTGAAAACAAGAGTAGCTGTTATATGACAGAAGAAGCTGACCAATATGGACCCACATACCAGACTTCCAGGGTGCAGACTCTGCTGACAGCTGAACAACACACATTCTGTCACAATCAAAGCAGGATAAGTATCACTGCAAAACACATGGAGCCCTTCAACTGAAGGAGGAAAGCAAAGTAACAGGGTCCTCTGTGTGTGTCCATGCATGCGTGTCTGCGCATGTCTAAACAGCTTCTGTTATTTGCACACATACACACACACGGACACACACGCTTTCCTACAAACAGAGAAGCATACAGGAAGCTGTTAGTCCCTTTTCTGGGCAAACACTCACACTTCAGTTTTCTTTTGAATTGTGATAATGACTCAGCGTTAAAAGTTTGGCTTGATGAGCTTTACAAACACACATATCTCTGAAACTTGATCATGATCAGATGTATTTCGTATCTACACTCTGAGAAAAGAATAGAGACTTCTCATTTCACCTGATTATTTCAGAAGTAACCCCCAACTGCCATTTAAAGCTCAGAGCCAGCAGAGCAGGATGACATGAATTCCCCACAGCAATATTAAAATACAATTCATGTGGAATCCAGTCACCATGTGACCAAATAAGTTTAAAAAAAAAAAAAAAAAGATGTTCTATTGTTCTGCGAGTGAAACAGACGTCAGGCACAGGAAGGGCATTTTAAATCAGACAAAAAACATGTCAAAATCAACTGGAAATGCAGCTTCTAGCTGCATTTAAGCTCCAGTCAGTAAAACTGATTTATCGTCTCAGTCTTACTTCATCATTTCATCCATATAGCACCTTTGTGGACTGGGATCATTTTGACCCAGTGAAATGGAAAAAGGCTTCTGTATCTGTTAATAGACTAAAAAAGCATCACTGCTTTAATAATACACTTAATCATACAGAGTTAAGGGTCAGCCATTTAATAACAAAAGGTCATGAGGAACCAGAACATGTTTATGATCTGTCAAAGCAACTGGAGGGACTCCAAGGACGGATTCTATTGCAGTTCTATACGCTGGCTGAGATGGATTAGTTTACTTTTCCTCTTTTTCCGACAGCTTTCTAAGCTACCTTTAATACAGTGAAGATGAAATTGTTACTGGTTTCAATGATTACCTGTAGCGTATTATTTTTGTGATTCGCCTTCCAGTTTTAAAATTAAATCACCATTAAAACTATATTTGGTGACCTTGCAGTAAAAACTGCACTGTTTTGTGCATTTAGTGTGTTGTGGCAACTCACTTGTATCCAGGTGTGTTGCCATGGATACAAGTAGAAGGCAGTGAAAGTGTCGATCTTTCAACCAACTGTTAACTGAAGATGTATGATGGACTTTAATCATATATTTAATCATAAATCAATGTTTCTGTTGAAGAACACAAAACAAACAGCTAGCTCTAGCTCTTTAGCTGCAATGCTAAGGAAGGTCAGGTTTATCCAGCTGTTTGCGCTGGTCAGAACAGTAACTGTGTCTGTTACTGGTTACCATATAATGGATATGTAAACATGGAAAATGAAAACACTTATGGTGAAGTTAGTCTGATAGCAATATCTACACCTTACTTTCATTATGTCAGTGTTGTCTTTTAGAACATTAAGAAAATAAGTGGTCTCATGAAGAAAGAAGTTTTACTCGTGAAGTTTTGATCAGTCAAATTTATCAAAACTTGACTGAGCTAGAACAGAAAAACTTGTTTAAAAGTCTTGTTTAAAGTTAGACAATAAAAAAGTCTGGTTTTTAGGAAATGTATGTGAATATCTGGTTTTAGCTTTTGTGAATATTTTTCAAGTGAATTGAGAAGAACATAAGTTAACTAACATGAATTATGTCACAGAAAAATTCTGAAGTTGTGAGTCATTTAGTTTCTACTCCAGTGTAGGTACAGTTGTTCTGCTGGCTGTTCTAATTGAGATAGGAGCAGAAAGCAAACATGTAAATGCTTCCAACCGTCATTGCAAGCACCTGCAGAAAGGAATGTGCGCGCACACACACGCACGCACGCACACACACACAAACACACACACACACACACACACACACACACACACACACACACACACACACACACACACACACACACACACACACACACCAATAAACATAGATATTTATAGAAACTTAATGCTGGAATGCAAATAGGTATAATATGGAGTGGACTGTATAATCCAGAACAAGTCTTGTTGTCATGTACTGTATGTAGATGATGGATGGACAAGCCACTGAATGAAGTGTTCAGAGAATGCTAATGCATTTTACCTCACCTTTAAAAAAACAAAAAACAAAAAAAACATGTTAAAACCAGAATCATTAAAACTTCATGGTTTCATGTTGGTTCCCGCTTTATCCTCACAATGTATGAACTTATTTTGATCTCCACAACAAACACAGAGACAACAAAGCATTAGCTTCACATTAGTATGAGTGACACTCACAGAGAGAAAAACCTCTAATTTGTGCAGCGTATCCTCTGTATACTGCTATAATCAATATTTGAAAAAAAAGAAGAAATCTGGATGTTGACGATTTCAGTTAAGTTCTGTAACAACAGATCAGTCAGTACAAGTAACATCTGACATGGCCATAAAAACTGAAAAGTTCCCCTGCTCAGCAACAGATTACTGCATCAACAGTTTATCTGGAAAAGTAATGGCACACTTAGAAAATACCATGTTTCATTCAGTGTTTACATGCAAAGACTAAAAAGGCTTTACAAGCCAACACTGATAAGTGTTAGTGGTCCTAACACTTATCAGTGTTGGTTCCACATATTCTATGACAGCCAATCATTTGGAGAGAATCGTTGATTGACTCTGATCACTTGTCACTCTGCAGGTGAAAAAAGTCTTTAAATATGCATGAATTCTGTTCAGCACTGAAGTACACATCAGTCACAGCATAATATGAGGACTGTCCAAAGATGCTAGAGAAAATTAATATTAATTGGTTTATTTATATCTAACTTTTCATATTCTAACCCTTCAGGTGATGGATCTTATCTAACATGCAAAGATGAAGGAACTCAGACCTCCTGCAAAACATGGAGTAGTCACAAAAGATAATGCATGACTCCATCCTCACAGACAGTGCTTTACTGGACTTCATGTTGATACATGTGAAAATAATGCAGATAGGACACTGTCACTGAATTCTGTGATGTACTCATGAAAGGAGCACCAAGCAGTTTGAGGAGTAAGGAGCAGACCACCAGAGAACAACTCAGCCACATGATTTGTTGTTTCGTTGGCCAGTCGGTCCTCCTGTTGCCTCTCACTCACAACCACCTTTGATCAAGACTTCTGTTTTCCTCATCGCAGATGCTCAACCCACACACACACGCACACGCCCACACACAGCTGTTTGCATGGCAGCAAAACAGAGATTAAAGCAGCACATGGCCAAAACAGTAAAGTTTCCAAAGTGAACACACACACAGAGCAGGTTGACACCACAGCCTGACCAGAGGGAGAAGGGTCACAACCCA